GGGGGGGGGTTGGTGGTGGTGGAGAACTTTCTAGAGAAGCGGTTAAACGGGTTTGGACTCCAGGGCTGAGGACACCCTCAGGGCTTTCTTCAAATAATGACTTTTCTGCTCTATGGTTCCCAGTGGCGGCGGCTTCTCCCACTCTTGGGATCCTCGGAATTCGGGGATCCCACTTTACCCCAGCACCCTCCCCTGGCCCTCCTCTCCCCCTCCACTCGCCCCTGGGCTAGCCTATTTTTCCAGGTCCTTCTCCACTCTCAGACAGGTTCTCCAAGTCCAGGCCTGCAGGCTGCTGAGGCCGGCCCTCTTCCCCAGGCCTGGCAATCGGATGTGAATGGAAAGGGTCAGCCTCCCGGGACTGGACCACACACACCTTTGGGGTGCATTTTGGTCTTGTTGGGTGTGCAGAGAAAAGGGGCCTAGGGAATGAACGGCCTCAGCCTAGGTGCACCAGTTGAAGGAAGCCACCTTGACCTCCCTGGAGCCTGGGAGACCCTCCAGAAGTGTTGCCTTCAGGTCGCCAAAATACTATGTGCAGGAGATTTGTAAGACATGACCCATTGAACCTGACTTGGAAGTGGGGTAATGTGAGTGTTACAAGACTGCCTCGCATCATTTTAACCATCCTCTTTTGTTAGTACTAGAACAAAGTGGTTTAGACTCAGGAAAAAGTCAACCCCCTATTGACGGTGTACATTAAGGAATGCTGTCTTCTCTGCTGGTCCCAAGCCTTGCCTGTGGAGTTTGGAGTGAGTAGGGTCAAAACTGAAGTTTTGCTGGCTTGATTAGAAGATTTATCTGGAGAGGTTCCGGATTCTGTCCAGCGCTATCGTACCCCGGTTACACATAGTACCTGGTGAGTGCTATCAAACTGGCTTTGTGAATTGGAATTTTTAATTCCAATATAATGAAAAATTTTGTACATCCCTGTGTGCCCAGCACTGTGCTATTTGTTGTTATGAAGCAGGTAATGTCATCTGAGTAGGCAGTAGAGTCATGTGGGGCCTGCAAAATGATTCATCCAGTGGAGGCACTAGCCTCAAGCCTGAGGACCCACATGGTGGAAGTAGAGAACTGACTTCCACAAGTTGTTCTTTGACTCCCATACATGTGCCCTGGTATGTATCCCCTCTAAAATAATATAAAAAATTTAAAGTAGTATTTTAGTATCATTGTTAAAGAATTCATTGTAGTCTCTCCTGATGGAAAATGACTGGAAGGGTATATAGAAATAACCCATTCTCTCCAGCAATTTACAGTCTCTCAGAGTTTAACCACAGTCCAAGACTTCTTGGGTGACTAGATCCTCTCAGAGGATATGGAGGGGGACTGGACACCTCTACTGGTTAAGTCTCTTCTACAGCACTGAGTGTCAAGGCCCACTGAAATTCTTGGAGACAGATTGGACGCTGGCTTGCACATAGCCATTTTCTCTTGTGCTGGATTATGCACCTGTTACCACGGCACTCTGTCTTCACTCTGGCCTATTGTGTTAGGGCCTTTGGGTATTACCTGGCACAAGTTGGGACTGAAGAGCTAACTTTTATAGTGCTTTCCTTTTAATTTCTTGAGAACAGCAGCATTAGTCTAGCTCATGTCATGCAGCACCAAGTAACTGAGCACTTAACATGCCTGCATGTTGAACAGGTAACAATAATAAGTTAGAACACATGGTAGGCAATAAGGAAAGAGTTGGGTCACTCAAGTGCAGCTGTTAAAATTGAGGCAGGTGTTGCTTAGTCTGTAAATCTCCATTTCTTGTTTGTAAAATGCAGGTGGTAAGCCTTGTAAATGGGGGTGACTTGCTACTTAAAAAGAGGGAATGCATGTACCTAGCATGGTGCTGGGCATCCAGTGGTGAGTTAGTGGTCATCATTGTGATGTGATTTGAGGATGGAGGTGAGGACAGAGTGCTGTGGTAACAGGTCTATGTGACAGGGAAGGTGGAGTGCAAGGGCATAAAGACAAGGTTTCTGGTGAGAGTGCCCTACCTCCATGCAGTGAAGCAGTGGACGACATTCACCCCCTACCCCTGGCCCCTCCCACCTCCTACAGGCTCCACAGGGCTTTGAATCCCAGGACAAGACTTATGTGGCTCTAGAGTTTTTCCTGGTTGTGGAATTTTTTCTGACCAATCCTAAACCTTATGCATATTTATTGCAGGAAATGCACAGGTGTTTAATTCTCATTCCTTCTCCTCTTTGCCCTTTCTTCTCCAGCATATTTGAATTAGTATTCTTAGAAAAGATGTTTAACTGGGGCTGGAGAGATGGCTCAGCAGTTGAGAGTACTGGCTACTCTCACAAAGAGGATCTGGTTTCTCAACACCCATGTGGCGACGCACAACCATCTGTAACTTCGGTTCCAGGGGATCCGACACACTCTTCCAGACTCCATAGGTACCAGGTACATACAAGCATGTAAAACACTTGAACACATAAATCTTTTTTAAAAAGATGATTAGGGACTGGAGAGATGGCTCAGTGGTTAAGAGCACTGGCTGTTCTTTCAGAGGACCTGGGTTTGATTCCCAGTACCCACATGGCAGTTAACAATCATCTGTAACTCCAGTTCCGGAATCTGACCTTGGGCATTGTACAACAAGAGTGCACTTACACATATGCAGGCAATATGCTTATAGACATAAAATAAAAATAATAAAATTTAAAAATTGTCCTTAAGCTGGTGGTGGTGGTGGTGGTGGCACACACCGGTAGGATTTGCTGAAGGAGGCAGAGGCAGGGGGATCTGGAGTTCGAGGTCAGCCTGGACTACACACTTTTTGCCAGGTGTGGTGGCGCATGCCTTTGATCCCAGCAGCACTTGGGAGGCAGAGGCAGGAGGATCTCTGTGAGCTCAAGGCCAGCCTGGTCTTCATAGTGAGTTCCAGGCCAGCGGGGCTACTGGGATACCCTGTCTACTGCTATCACTCAAAATTCTTAGAAATTCCTCCCTTTGCAAGATGAAGAAAGTACATTTTGCCATCCACCTTGCTCTGCATGTCGCTTGTGCTAGAGCAAGCAGCTTTGTTATTGCAAAATGAGTCTCCTTGAGTGCATGCATTTGGCTTATCTCCCTTATTTTTGTGTCTGCACACATGGACATGTGTGCAGGCCAGCGGTCAACATCCAGTGTCATGTCTCTCCATCTTTAAAAAAAATTTATTATTATTGTGTATATGATGTGCGTTGAGGGATGCATTCACATCCCACGGGGCATGTGTGGAGGTCAGAAGACAAGTTTGTGAAGTAATTTCTCTCCTTCCACCTTTCCATGGGTTCTGGGTTGATTATCAGACTTGCATGGCAGGTGCTTTAACCCCTTGAGCTATCTGACCAGCCCATCCATCTTATCTTTTGAGAGCAGGTCTCTTACTGAACCTGCACTCACTGATTGGCTAGACTAGATGGCTAGAGAACTCTGGGAATTCTCCTGTTTCACCCCAAACAGAAAGTCTGTACCCATTAAACCAAAGGTCTCTATTTTCTCCACCTCCACCCCTTACAACTTCCATCTATATGAATTTGCTTATTATAGGTACCTCATACAGAGTAAAATCCCAGTTTTACAGTTTTGAAGAATGACAGCATGGAAGAGAGAGAGACACTGTTAAAAATGGAAGAAAAGGTGCCTTCAGAGAAGAAAGAGAAATGGGAGCTGAAAAAGCTGGAGCAGCTTTTCCCAGAACAAAAACAAGTCCAAGGAGCCAAAGAAGAGGAATAACCCTAAAAAGAAGACAAGGAACTGAAACAGGAATTAGGTGGGAGACGCCCTCCTGTGCTGCCCCCTGCTGTGTTGCAGCATTTATCTGTCAACAGTGCTTTGTATATCCCCCTCCCCACAAGTCTTGCTCACCTTTTGTTTGTTTACTTAGCACACAAAGCCATGGGTTTCATTATGGCCTTGCATGCACAGATACCATTCTGCTTTGCTCTCCCCCATGGCCCTCTCCCATTCCTCTCCCTGTTTTGTTGGTCCCTCTCCTTTCCCCCAGTGGTCTCCCTTTCTGTTTTTAAGTCTTTCTGTTGCCCTCTCCGCCCCTTCTCTCCTACTCGCAGACCTCTTCCTCCTTTCAGAAGCCCCTTTCTACTTTCATGTCCTAGAGATACACACAGTTACATATAAATTTAAATTCCACATATGAGAGTCAGCATGTAATATTTGTTCAAGCCTTAGCCTATTTTGCTGAACCTAATCTCCAGTTCCACCCGTTTTTCTGTATGGCTGAATAAAATTGCATTGTGCACATATACCACATCTTTAGTCCATCTGCTGATGGACATCTAGGCTGCTCCCATAGCTTAGCTGTGTGAATACCACACAGTAAACATGGGTGTCTCCCACATTCTTTCTTAGAGTTATTCGTATTTTTTTTTTTTGCTACTTCTGTGAATGTTTTCAAAGTTTGTCTGTTTGCTAGTGCATATAATGCATTTTAATTTATTTTACATAGAATGTTCATAACAAAACTTACCACTTCATAACTATTATTTTTCTTTTTGGAAATAAGTTCTCACTATGTAGCCCAGAGTGGCCTCAACTTTCAGATCCTCAAGTATGGCTGAATAAAATTGCATTGTGCATATATAACACATCTTTAGAGACACTGTTAAAAATGAAAGAAAAGGTGCCTTCAGAGAAGAAAGAGAAATAGGAGCTGGAAAAGCTAGAGCAGCTTTTCCCAGAACATTTACTCCAAATACTTGGATTAAAGGTGTGTGCTACCATACGTGGCCATTTTTATTGTCCCCAAGTGTACAGTTCAGTGGCATTAAATACATTTATTCTTGTGTAAACACACAATGACTTTTTGACACAAAGTCTCATGTAGCCGAGGCTGGCCTGATGACCTTGAACTTCTGATCCTCCTGCTTCCTGATGGCTTCTGGGATTACAGCGTGCACCACCATACTTCTTGTTGTTTTGAGATAGGGTCTCACTGGTCTTTGGCCCCTGAGTACTGAGATTTTATAATCTCCCATTTAAAAAAAAATTTGTCTTAATGGTCTTTGGGGGGAAAATGATAGAGAGTTAGAGGACCTGATAGGATATGTTTACACAATCAAGTAATTCTTACATATGACCCATGTATAATAGATACGTTCTGTGGAGAAGAGAATCTGCATTGTACAACACTCTTCTGATTGGTGGTTGACACAGCAGGGAGGATGCAGCCTAGTTATTATTTAACACAATGGCATCACCATTGCTGTCTGATGGGCAGAAGAAGGCACTTCATCTCCTTGCACCTCATCCACTAAAACCTTCAAGTGTGGAACAATTCGGTTGGCTTCAAAGGGTCGAGCCAGTGGCTTGTAGCCCATATGCCACAAAATTTATCCTTGGGTTGGTTCCCTGCCACTTATCCCAGGTGACTTTTTGTGCAACTCTACCCTTATCTGTTGCTAATTTGAGTAGATTGCCTTTAGGTCCTTTCACCTCCCTGTTGAAATTCTTGTTCTTTGCACATGGTCCTCAGCAATCATTTTATTAATATGTGACTTGGTCACTCACTGAACAAGCCATCCTAAGAGGCACCACAGATTTCTTAGGTTCTGGATTATTTGTTGCTCTGAGAAGGAATATAGCACGGCTGATGCAAGGTTGGTTGACTCAAGCAAGGTGCCATGGAATGGTTTTGCAGTACAGTCACCAGTGACCAGGCATGTTGCATTAATAACATTGGTTGTTAGGTTCACATCTATTGCATCTCGCTCCCCTGCCCTATCTATGATGATTTTTTTGTGCAAGTATTTGGAGCAAATGATGGTTATTGTATAGTAATGGGTAGCTTGCTTCTCAGTGGAGAAGTGGGGCTTGACCATAAAAAGTAAGATGCTAAAATAGCCTAGTTATAGGATGTCTCAAGTGTAATGTTTTCCTAAGTTTTCAGGCCTACTTGGGTCTGGCAATCAATGCTTCCTTACATCACCACCATGAAAAACATTGACAAAAACATGGGCAAAATGAAAAAGTAATGTGTTCAAGAGGGGAATGTGGAGCTAATATCACGTTTTCCAAATGGTCTGTGCACAGTTCTTTTATTATTTTTATTAAGACTACAAGATTGTGGTAATTTGTTGCAAACATGGCCTTGGTACTCAGTATTTAGAGAATGACTTGTATCTAGCTATTGCTTTTAAAATTCATGTTCTCTTGACTCTACTGTGTTGTTTGTAGTGGAAGGGAGGTGGTGGGTTACAAGGGCTGGGGACAGCAGGAGAAGGCCACCCCAGGGTGGATCTGTGAGTGGAGGAGGCTTAATGAATTAGAGTACTGAGATAGTGTCTGCTAGATTCTGGGAGCAGAGACAAGGGCTTATGAGAAGAGTCCACACAGTTGTGGTGTACTTAGGTAATAGCTGAGCTGGCTAAGGGGAGTATGGGGAAAGACAGTTCTCTTCAGCTCCTTTCCCTTAGTTCTGATGGGCAGGCCATCCTGGTATGCTTTTTATTATGTGAGAATGGTCCTACCTAGTTCCATGAGCCAAGCTGATTCTGTTAATGAGGATTAGGAAGTCTGGGAGGCCAAGGCCACCTTATCCTTGCACCCTCTGGCTCATTCAGTTGCTCATTATGCCCCATTTATCAGTCTTCTAACTGGTTCTGGCTTCATTGACATTCTAAGATGGTGCTGTCGGTCTGCTTGTGCAGTACTCTACACTGTCTATATCCGAAAAGTCAGGCCTTGTTGAAATGGGGGCCAGGACTGTAGCATAAGAACCCCAAGTACACTGTTTTATGGGGCCTAGGACAGTATGTGGTTGTCTTTTGCATCACTCCTGTCCTGGTGGGCACAGTTCTCAGTAGTGGGGTTGTGGGCTGGGTGATTGACCACTCCCATGTCTCTTTGCCTCAGGATCTCTGGCTGAGGCTTCAGGCCTGGGATCCCAGGATGCCTTCAGACCCACAGGTATGGAATGTTCTGTTCTCTTTCCTTCCATCTACCTTAGGGAAGTTCAAATGCAGCCTCTTTGGGGAAGTTTTCCCTGACTGCTCCACCTAACTCACAGCTCTTATTTTCTTTGCTGTGTATGTCCAGCATTCAGTAATTGTCATTTCAGCCCCATATGTCACAAGGCCTGGTCTTACATGTTCTCCAGTTGTTACAGAGACTTACAGGTGAGTTGGCTGTCCTGTCTTTGTGTGAGATTACCGAGTTCTTGAGAACAGGAAGCAATCTTTGTCTGCGCAAGTCTCACCCAATCTCTCATAAACCATGGGAGGCATAGTGTTGTTTTACATGACAATACTGTGCCCTTCTGATCCTTAGTAAACCCTTCAGGGAAAAAATGAGTGGACTCAAACTAAGAGGTGACAGGCTCTGGAGGCCTGGAAGCAATTGTTAACTGGGAAAGGTTTTCTATCTTTATGGGTGGAGTTCTACATGTAGGGGCAAACCCATCTGCTTGGCGCTAGTCTTTTCACACTATGGGAAGATACCTCTTTTGCTTCTTTTGCATGCTCTTCCTTTCATTCATTCAGCAGCAGACTTCTGATGTTCTACTAGGTGCCCTTTGTGATGCTGATGAAACAAAGGTGAATGACAGGTGATCAGTTGGCCATCCTAACTACCTTACCTATATTGAAACTTTCACCGCTTCTGTTCACTCACAAATGTGTCTTCAGTTCCAAGCGCTTTCCAAATTCATTTCCTGTTAGGAAACTTTCCAGACAATTCAACCTGCCCTAGTAGCTGAGGTATTACTTCTCCTCACCAGAAGGGGGTGCATGGGATCACAGGACTTGCTGAAGCAGTGGGAAAGGGTGGGGGTAGGAGATCCTAATTGGGATCTGGATTTTGGCATAAAGCTGAAAACCCTGGAGGACCAGAAAAAAGGAGGGAACTGCATTAAGAACAGGAGTGGTTAACTTCAGAGTCTTAATGCACAAGAGAAAAACATAGCGACTGATTGCTTAAAGTGGCAGAGAGAGTACTAATGAGAGGGTAGATCTGCTCCCCTCAAAGCAGAGAGCTAGCTTCTGACCCCACCAGACAAGAGAATATAGTATGGGAGGTGGCAAAACTGTGCTGCCAACCCCTCAGCCCAGCCCATCTCCAATAGTAGCTCCAGGAACAGTTCCACAAACGAAAACTCAAATGTTTCAAAACGGCTTTCGGTTTCTGCATAGATGACCTTACCTGGTCCTAAAGGTCAGTAGTGCACAACTTGACAAGAAGAGCCCACACAGCTGTGGCATACTTAGGTCAATTAGAGGAGGAGAAAGGGTAACAGCTGAATCTAGACAGAAGGGCCGAGAGATGCTTTCTTCCAGTCTCATTTTTGAGTTAGTTGCTCTGTGACATGCTCTCTTTTAGATTTGTCATAAAAATATATTTAGTGATTTGTGTTCAAATAAAAAAACTAGTCTTCCCCTGGCGTTTCCTCCTCTCCATCCTATCTGCAAAATTTTCCAAACTTTTCTGGAAAGCTTAAATTCAAGGGCAATAGTAAACTGATTTGGGCTTGTAGAGCTTAGGAGGTGAGACTCATAGAAGATCTTTGGTATTTACAACTCAGTCCTTACCAGCCACGTGGCTGCAGTGTGTCTTTGCTAGGAGAATGAAAGCCTTTATGAGAACAGAAAGCCTTTGTAGCCTGTGATAGGTTGAAGTTCACATGGCCTTGTTTCCTTGAACTTGGAGGAGCACATGAGCTATTGACTCTGGTATGAGCAATGACCGTGTAGATCTAAACAGGAAAGAAGAGCCGTCTGTGTGAGGTGAGTATGAATCCATCCATAGTTCACAGACCTGACTCATCTTGCACGAAGAAATTTTCTTCTTCGTTTTCTGTATTGCAAGAATCAGACCCAGCATTTTGTCTGGGATGAGAACATGAGTTATAGTGAATTCATTCATCATCAGTTTCCCACAGAGTATGCCATATGTTTCTATGTTATGGGCAATGTTAGCACTGGTGAACTGGGGAAGCTCAGCACAGCTTTGAGGCACCATCATATGGTACAGTCCATTGGTGGGAGGAGAATGTTCCTCATTGCTCAGCGCTTCAGGTCTCAAAGTCTTGTCCACTACTGGTGACTTAACTGGCCTTATGGTTGTATTACAGTCTGAAGCCTGTGGATGACACACATGCTGTGAGTACTCATCTCCACTTTTCTAGACCAGGTACCAATCGGCTTCCCCTGGGAGGCATCCACTATCCTAAACTCTTGCACAATTTTTAGTCGTTTTCCAGCTCCTGGTTCTGGATCATCTCCATAGAACTGTTTCTCTTCTAATTGTTGATTCACTCTCTTTTTCCAGCTCTTGCTGGATGACCATGTTCTGGGAAAATTCCTCCTCATCCTTCTTCTTTATATTTTTCATAATCTTTGGTGTGTACACATAAACCTGCCTTCAGTTCTGCTTTGGGAAAAGCAAGTTCCTCAATTTCTTGACTGTCTGATTTATAATCCCGGTTGCCTTCTTCAGAGTAAAATGGTGCCATACAGAGGACTTGAACTCCAGAGTGGAGGTACCCACAGGGTGGAAGATTTTCGTTTAATTCCACTGTATTCTCAAGCTGGGGGAAGAATCTTTACTCAGTCTTTGGGTGGATGGGTGATATCTCTCTATGGTCAGACATCAGGACCAAAAGGTTTGGATTCAGATCTCTGGCTGAGGAGAACACAGACACAGAAACTATTTGATTCAGCTCTCTGATGGTAGAACACAACAGCATTGGAAGAATCTGTTGTTCTGAGCTCCATCTTGTTTAAACACATATTTCCTGACCCAGAGATTAGGTGATATCAGTCACAGAAACAAGGGATAGGAATACAATAATAGGGTTTGTCTGGGTTGCTGA